TGTGTGTGTGTGTTTGTTTGTGTCACTAAAATCAGAAAGTTACTTAGATTTGATTTGGCAAACTTCTGATAGCTGTGTGTGTCCCCGCTGCTTCCTGGAGGAGGTAGTTATTTTCACATTTGGTGGCTCATCATATGTTTTCATGCTGGGACACTTATCATATGTAAATTGTATAGCTGTGGGCACTAGAGTCCGCTCAGCTGTTGTTGTCTATTGTCATTCCTCCCAAGCAGAGATGGACACCCTAGGGGGGCGTTCTTAGAGACAAATCAAAAGGACAAAACTCTACTGGACACCGTCTTGAAAAGCAGTAACTAGCTGGAATTTTCATGGTCTTTTTTTTGTTTGTAAAGCTTCACTAAATAAATAAAATACACATTTTGTTTATTTTAGAGAAGAATGCCTCTGTGGGGTCTCTGGCTAATCCCTCCGAGCTAAGATTTCTCCTCACATTCGTCTTGTTTTGGTCCCAGCAGACTCTATGAAATGAGCATATGCCTGATTAACCTGATCAACAGTCTAAAGTTGCATGCAGGCGAAGCCTTTGAGTCTAAACAAACAGCCATCCTGAAAAAAGGAAGTGGTTAAGGCAGGGAGTGAGGGTCCCAGAGGGCAGCCAGAGACCACACTGGTAGCAGATCACTGACGCACATGGAAAATGTGAACAACACACAGGAAATCCTTTCAAAAGAGCAAACGAGCAATTTGCTTGAAATCAATGTGTTTCATGCGTTAAGTGTGTGTGTGGGCATATCGTGTGTGGAGTTACAGCCTCTCTTTTGTGTTCGTTTTGTCTGCAGGACCCTGGATATGCAACATTTCTGTTGGAGCAGCTTCAAACACCTGGGAGCCATGACGCTGGTGTCAGCTGCTGCCAGGTGTGCTCCACGCCTCTGCACCAACTGAGGCAGGAGGCCTTGCAGACGCTGAATGCTCCCGTCCTCACCTTAAGCCCAGACATGGCAGCCCTGCCCACCACATCGTTTTTACCGCAGCCTTCCAGATTCACCATGTCGTCCTCAAGTGTCCGTGCAAAACAGCTGTCCAAAGGCCAAACCATCACACACAGTGTCCTGCCCCTGGGGGAGAGGCGCAGGGTGCCGGGCTGGTCTCAAAGCCCCTCGGTTTCTTCAGGGCCCAGCGTCCAGGTGACGGTGGCAGGAGGGCAGATCACCGGATCCCTGAACTCTGTCACCATCCAGGCTCAGCAGTACCTCGAGGGCATGTGGAGCATCTCCAGGGTCAACAACTTCCTCCCTCAGCCTAAACTGGTACAACTTTAGTTTTCTTGTTTTTATTACATACCTTTGGAAGCAATTGGAAGGTATTCTACAGTAGACTGAGCTTCACTTCACTTCATTGTAAAGAATATGCAGTAATGTAAACCCTGGCTACTTGACTTCCTTTTAACCTGAGTTGACATTAATTAAGTTGAAATAATGGCACAACACCTTTTTTTCTGCACACAATGCTGCAGTGCTTGTCAGGTCAAGTCTTGTCAATACATTTGTTACATTTCAGACCTTCAGAGACGATGGCGCCCTGCAGAGAATCTGCGAGTCAGAGCTCTGCAGGAGTGCTGACCTCTCATTCCTCAGTAGTCAAGGAGCCTGAGTGATTTGGGGTCAGAGGTCATTGCAACACTAATCTGCTGACCTCCTCCTCAAGGGCATTTCAAATGACCACCCCACAGCGCCACAATAACTCTTCTCTCATGTTGGATAAGCATTAGTCTGTTTGATGTCTAGAGAGTTTCAAAGGTCCTGGGTTTTGCCCTCAGTGTCATGGGAGCTAATTATTAGCCTTGCTGTACCTTCTTTGTGACTTTTAACAGTTTAGTTGCACATGTTTGCAGGTTTTGTCGTAATGTAAGTTGAACATGAAAAGTGTTGACTATGATTTCTCACATTGCTCCTGACATACTGATGTTTCTCTTCTGGATTAAGACCTGACAAACCTGTGACAGAGTACACCAGGCAAACACCTATGTGCTAACGTAATCCAACCCCTGCACTTTCATATTTCCCATCAGATTCATAAGTTGTAAATTCAGCCACTTCACTTCTAGCTGTGTTGATAACCACAGTCTCTTATGGGTCTTGGCAGTGCTAGTCCTTCCTTTCTGCTTGGAAATTGAAGACAGATTTTCACTCCTCCCTTTAATGTCAACAGTTGCCTGTAGAGATGGTTTATGTGAGGCCATCAAAAGCTTTTAACTGCATGTACGCAATCTAGGGCAAATCAAACAGCCTGGCACAGAAGGGAGCGGCTGACTCGTGTTCTCTATCCACGTGTCTAAAGGCAATTAGTGGCCCTTGGAGCTGCGATGAGTTGCTCAATGCCACATAGCTGAGGCTCGGGCCCTCCTCAGGCTGTGAGAGATGTCCCTTCAGGACACAAAATTACACATTCAGCAGAAAAGGGTTTTATTTTCTCAAGCTTGTTTCTTTCATTAAAGCCAGATCTTTCAGAATGACAAAAACCCACAGCAGCCCGTGAGGATTGGGAGTTAACACTGAGCCGAAAGGCACTCGTTTTAATTCATGATTCCCTCTTGGTTTCTTTGTAGGGAGAGCATGCAGTGTTGTTCAGACAAAGACGCTTTGGACTTCGTGTGTGCAGAATAAAAAGCAGCCTGGGGCACTCCCACATACAGCCCATTATAGGGCACCTTGAATCTTCCATTTGGGAAAAGGCTCTGGTTAACATCTGGAATGATGTTTGTGGTCACTGGAATTGAAACTGACTCCCTCTTTGTAAACTGGCTGACACTGTTTCATGCTGCTGCCTTGAATTCTGCACCTCTTTGAGAAAGTTGGTTGCACCTCGAGAACCTGATGCAAAACCTCAGCTTTGACAAACATTTACAATTCTTTTATTCCTGGTGTTATTGTCCTTTTGAAAAAGAACCTTTCAATAAAAATAAAATGTATCCAGGAAAACCATAGACTATATATAAAGATCAACGACACGTTTCCACTTCCTCCCACTGCCCAGAAATAAAAGTATCTCGGATACGAACACTGGCAGAGTCTGCACAGTAGCGATTGGGGGATGGAGCTGAGATAGCACTGTACCATCGATAAATGTGTTTGACCAATTGTGAGTCAGTCTCCGCTGTCAATGGATTTTATAACACCGAATTAGTGATTGAAACCAAACTTAACACAGAGGCTGGGTTTATGACGCGTACTGCAGCCAGCCAGCAGGTGGCGATTGAGATGCTTTGGCTTCACTTTTGGGGAGCAGCCATTTCATCCACCTTTATATACAGACTATGAGAAAAACACATTAGAAGCAGTAAAATGCTCAAAGCAAGCAACTGATTGACCCAAATTTGCGATTCTCTCTTTGCTCCATGAAATCCACAATGACTTGTGTCTACAAAGACCAAGTACTCTTAACCTATGAGGGTTTCCGTTGGCATGTTAGCTGTGGGCTGCCATGGTCTGCTCCTTTGCTATTAATGTGAAGCCCAGCAGATGATCTTGGCTGCTGCTACTCTGGTGCAGCTGGGCGTGCACGGCGACGTGCCACTGAAAGTGACAAGAGAACGTTGCAGGAAAGGAAAGAGATCGACAACACTCCCTCCTTCCAAACGGAATCAATTAGAAAAGCTATGTCTGGATATGTGCTTAAGGACAATGGACGTTTTCTGTCAAGAGCGATGAACACAAAGGCGTATTTTCAGTTTTCTCTCCTGGTAGGACTCCAGTACTGTTAGCAGTCCATCACTGGTTTCTGTTTGGTATAGAGGCCAGCCAAGCCTGACAGGCAGATTAACACAGGGCCTATTTCTCCTCTGCAGTAATCGTCTGCTGACCGCTGGGGTCAGAGGTCACCGGGGAGTCCTGGTGGTGTTAAGGGGCGGGGGGTGGTGGTCCACTGATAGGATGCCGGTCTGTTCTCTTCACCTCAGACTACCTTCAATCTCTTTTCTCTCTTTCCACTCTCTTACACACTCTTTCTATTACCTCCACATCTCTCCCCCCACTCGTTTCTCTGCCTTTTCTTTACAGTGGCAAAGGGATCAGGGAGGGCTGGGGGTTAAAGGATGGAAGGCCAGCTCATTACCGACTCTCAGTGTAAACGGCCGAGCACACATGGCTCCACTGACAGTGCCTAATTACCTGACTGGGGGATAGATCGTACTTTCAGCCAGAATTAGGGTCCAAGGCTGCAGAGAGCAGCTTGGCCGAGGGGCTTAAGTCCCCTGTCTCAATACCGAAGGGAATACGCTTTGATAGGCGCTGTTATGGGCTCAAGAGTGTGCGTGTGCTTGCCAGTATGTGTGTTTGATTCTGAGGCCACAGCGCAGCCCCACCTGTGACCAGCTGTCCCTCTATGTTCCTGAAAATCAGCTGCCACTTGATTTAAAAAGCGACACTACACCCGCCTGATCAGTGACAGATTTGATGAGCTATACATGTCAACTTCCTGTTCGGCTACTTGTCAAGCGCTGCGCTCTTTCATGCCAGAGTCTAATGGGTCTACTTTCCTGGTATGCGTCAAGTTCCTAACCTGGCACTTGCACCCGCATGGCGTGAGGCTTTCTGCTCCGGCGGCTGCATGAGGATCTGTACTTGGCTCATTTCAGCCCACTTTTTTCCATGGTGTTCCTCTCAAGTCATAACTTCACACACGGCAGCTTAACATCTGACTTAGCCTCCATGATGAAATCTCAAGAGAGCCAAAAAACCAGAGCTCCGAAGCAAGAATGTCGATTTTAACTCAGATAACAAGCTCAGAGGGAAGAAATGGGAATTCATGACATGCGCTCGCTCTGCAGGTCCTCTTCTTGACAAATGTTCAGCGAAGCTTTTCTGGGAAAAGATGCATGAAAAGCACCCAAGCTTTAATATAGCAACACATTGTAGTGCATGTAAAGCTAACATTGCAGAGCAATAGCCAAGCCTCTCATGTGAATGTCAGAATGTAAGTATGTCCTCACATCCTGATGTATAGCGTTCACATGTCAGGCTTGGCATATAAATAGCACAGCTGTCGGCCTGTGCTGACAAATGGCAGATAGTGGAAGGCCGCACACTTTATAAAAAAGATTGTAAAGGATGTTATTTTAGTTGCCAAACATGAATCTGGGACAAACACCCAGGTGGCAAATATGCAGACGGCCTAAGCGGCATTTATAATACACACAATAGTGAAATGGCACTAAGGCGGGAATGGCGTGTGTGTACTCAATTCAAGGTTGTTGCTGATTGCACAATGCTAAAGTACAAGTGTTGTAAATGTTTTTAATTTATTTAATTTCTGATGCTGAAAACCCAGAGCACTCCTTCCTGTCAGCTGCTATTGATCCCCATCCTGCAGGATAAACTAGCGGCTCCGCTGGGGATTAACCTTTTGTCAGTGTGGCGACTCAAACTGAAGTGTAGTCTCAGAGTTTGCTTGTGGCTCATGTAATCAGCTCTGTGTGCTCCTTGTGCTGGACCGTGAGCAATCAGTAACCCAGAGCTGGCTCCAGTGCTCAGGCTGAGCTGAGATGCTCCTTTGTCCAGCAAACAGAAACAGAGGCCGGAGGGGTTAGTGTATGAATGGCCTCTATTTTTGTCTGGACTATATATCTGTTGCTCTGCATTAAGACGGCTCCATACCGATACTTAACTTAGACTACATCCTCACTACAAGGTTTTAGTTTAATGCTACGTTTACGCCTGGGATCCACACTACTCTAAAAATTCGTGCCCCTTAAACTGAAAAGCATTGAAAACTCCTGGGCTGCGTTGTAGCATGAGCAGGCAAAGATGGAGACATTTGTACACAATGATGCACTCACCCACATTCACCTCCTGACTGGGCATGACTCGATTCCAGCGGTGAAGGCAAACCTTTCTAAACAATTACTGTCAGCAACAGTTCCACCTTATCGTCCTTTCAAGAAAAGGAATCCATCATTTTGGTTTTCATCATTGTTTCTCGTTGGTAGTATTTTCTGTAACTAAGCAACCAGCTGCAGAGTCGACAATCTGTTCCTGTTTACACCAGTGTGTGTGAATGGTCATGTGATATGTGTTTTCAGGTGTGTTTGCAGGGATGGAGATTAAGGTGCTAAAATGCTGTTTTTAGTGCAACTGTTATCAACTATCAGATATCATAGAACACATAATGCCACTTCTTATTTGATGCAGTAGATGCAAAGAGCAAATTATCTTATTTATCTAGTTTTTTCTTCTATATTCAAATGTTAAACTGCTTTTAAAGCCTTTAGAAATCTGGTTAATACTTTTTTGTCTTTCTCTAGCTTAAGTCTCTCTTCAATGATGAAACTGATTTAGCTGTTAATGACCTGCTGCAGCACATATGTAAAAAATACGTAATATAGGTGATATACCCAGTGTAGCTTTGGCATCACTTACCAAAGCCCTGGGGCTGGAGTGAAGCATCTCACCTTATTTTACTCCTCTTCAATTACCAAGCTTCCAGAGCAGGGTGTGCCCCTGCAACCACAACTCCGATACCTAATAAACATGGAAACTATCATATAAACACCTCTCACGTTGATTGTTGATTGTTTCTCCCTTTTGAAAACTGCAAGTAGATAGTTTCGACTTGACATGCGAGATGACATGCCCCTCATTCCTGTTGAGTAAACTGCCAAATTAGTCATGGAGGTATATGTATAATGGGGAGCAGAGTGAAATAAAAAACGCTGCTTATTTAATTACTAATTAAATGTGGGTTATCACTTAATTACAGTAGGCCATAACCAGATCAAGCCGGAGAGTGTTGCCAGAATCAATGAATGGTGCGGCGGTCCTCGCTGTTCTGTGGGGAGCTCTCTGCTGTGGATACTGCTGACTCCCGCTAACAGGAGCTGGCCGCAGCAGCTGCCCGTCCATCTGTGGCTGAGGGAAAGTAAATGGGGTGGAAGGAAGGTGGGCAGGAGTGACAAAATCTGTAAGTGTTGGCCGTGGTCTTATCTCTGTATCTGTGTGTCAACAGGCCGCTGGTTTGACGGGGGATCCAGTCATGGTTGTCACAGCGTCAGAGGCCCCAGTCACCACCATGACCACCACCACCAGCAGCAGCAGCAGTAGCAGCAGTAGCAGCAGCACCCTGACGCCCTGCCGACTGGGGAGCTCCAGCCAACCGGGACTCCCCGCGCCTGTCTACGTTACCGCTGCCTCCCCCTCACCCTCCTCATCTGCAGCAGCCTCCTTCTTCATTAGGTAAGCAACCCCCCCATCTCCGTCCTGTCAAATCACACCACGGCTGAGTCTGTCAAAGCATAGAGAGATAAGATTGAGCTGTTGGTGGTAAATGAAGTGTTTAGTGTTTATGCGAGCTTGTGTGTATAACACACCTGCATGCATTCAAGCTTCAGTGTGCGTGCCTGTGTGTGTGAAGGTGTGTGTGTGTGTGTGTAGGTGTACAATACAGATAAGTGTGTACAGACATGCCTTCAGATGTCTGCAGAAGGTCATGGTTCACGGTGTAAACATCTATGTGGGGCACCTATTCCATGGAGATGTTGTTCTTGCCATGGTTGAATTATAGCACACCTTGGGATACACACCATCATGGGACTAAATGAACCTTTGGTTACAGGCACCAGTGCCCATGAATGGTTAATAGAATTATATAATTCAATAGGAGGGAGTGTCTGAAAAGGGGCTTAGGTTAAAGCTGTGTATTGTCCTGAGGTATTTCATGTTTAGTTATTTTACCTCTCTGTTTTGCTTCTTCAACTTCAAACTCCTGATTTGTCCAGCTGCACGCTCAATCCTCCTGCAGCTGCAGAGCGGCTCTTCCCATTCTGTTGGTGGAACCATTTTGTCTCCGGTGTTTCTCAGGCTTTTTTTTTTTTACCAACACTGCTTGGCTCTGGTTTTGTTGTTGCCCCGGAGAATACTTCACCCTCTCCAGGCGGGTGGACGGCTGGTGAAATGTGCTGCATTGTCATTGATAGATTCCCTGGCAGACTGGTCAGTGCATACATTCCCTGCCTCTTCTCTCTCTGAGGAGTGCTGTGCCATAATGAATGTTGGCGAAAGAGAAGCTGACTGAGAATGATGCATGGGGCCATTGAAGCTCCGCACCACGGGAGGTGAAGGGACTTGTGGAGTGTGACAGGAAGCCCAAGGGGGATCAGTGTGGAGCTTAGGTTTTTTTTTTTCTCTCCAAGCGCTCCCCCAAATTGAGTTTGTCTTGCCAGCTTCCACAAGGTCAGAGAATATGAGTGCATGGGGCCATCTCCTTCCATTCCTCTAAATATGCAACTTCCTGTGCATCTCGCTTCCCGTCACAAGAGCAGTGGGTCTGAATAACACCAAGGTGTGGCTCTCTGCTCTAACGCTGATTTTCCAGTTTCCAGCCCCAAAACGACGAAGTTTAGAAACACTGCTGGTCCTGTTTTAGTTTGTAGAGTCCTGAGCTGCATTGTAACATGGATGGGCAAAAACAGAGACATTTAGAAACAATGACAAAGTCACCTGCATCAGCTTCCTGACTGGCCATGACTCAACTTCCACCGGTGAAGGCAAAGCGGTGTAAACACTGTCATTAACAGTTCTACCTTATCGTTGGTTAAAGAAAATAATATCCCTCATCTTTAATTTTCACCTAGGTTTTTTTCTTTTGTACTAATTTATGTAATACCTCTACATCTAAATTAGCGAGTTTACACAGGTTGTTTGAATGAGGGTAAACTATGCTACAATAAGGTAATTGACATTGCACTAAATATGCAACTTCCTGTGGATCTCGCTTCCCGTCCCAAAAGCGGTGGGTCTGAATAACACCAAGGTGTGGCCCTCTGCTAGACGGGGTTAATTCCTGACACTGATTTATTGGTTCTTGTGTTTTCTTTGGACCTGAGCTCAAAAAGAGTAGCTCATAAAGAGCCATGTCTAGCCACAGTGCGGGCCAATCCAGGGAAAAAGAGGGAGGTGGACTTGTTTTTTCCTAGCAGCAAGTCGTGGTGGGGCAGAGGGAGGTGTACGTGGAAGTGCAGTTAAGTGTCCCACCTTTTAATTTCATCCCGGAGATAATTTGCTGCCAAGAATGTGGTGTTTTACTTGGCCCAGAGAAACACAGCGATGACGGGGCCAGCTTCGCACAACATTGCAATAAAGGTGGTGGAGATGCACTGTGCTTGATTTGTAACACACCCACTTCCTGACCCTGTGCAGCTGTCGTCTGCAACATGAACATCATCATCATCACAGTCCTCATATTGTTGTGTTTGTTTCATTATTCTGAGTATCACTGCTGATTGAAATTTAACTTCTAAAGTAAAAAACACCCGACGACGAATCAATCAACAGATTCTCGTGCTTTCTTTCTGCTCTGGTAGTGCCCCTGTTGAAAAAGTAAAGTGTTGAAATTAGCATCCTTCATGTTTTTGACTTGATTGAAAACTCTTATCTGATTAGTATTCCTTTTTGTTCTCGAAAGATACAATTAGCGGTGTGCATGTGTAAATCCTGAGAGCCCAGGATGTAAGCGCAGAATAACCAAACAGCACTTTCTACCCCACTAGGGTGGAGAAGGCTCCACAGACACTTGTCTGACATTCACTAACACTGTTCCACTCAGAGATGAAATTTTAATTAGAACACAATTAGCCAGAGTCGAGCTGCTCTAGCTAGTTTGCTGCTGAGAAAAAGAGAAGAGGGTGATGAACAAAAGCCACTCATTGTTAAATTTCTCATTGGAAAAATAAGTCAAGCATTCAACTGCTTAGAAAGGCATTTAATTTGTTTCATTAAAGATGTGTAGTGAGTTGAAAAATCATTTTAGCAGAAATGTTGATGAGTTAACCACAGAGCTCAGCAGGTCAGAAACACATTTAAACAAGTCCTGTGCACAGATCAATAACGTGGCTCTGATATGATTAATTATTTGGGACTTCTCAATCAAGCATTAGGTTTTTTTTTTCCTTTAAGTAAACTGAGAGGATCAGATCCGTCATTTATTTCATGTGTTTATTTCAATATACTGTAAATGTAATATGTTTTGGCTGTTAAAGAACCAGTGTGTTGGCTGTAGTGACTTCTAGAGGTGAAGTGTGATCAACTGAAAACCCTTTTCCCTCATCCCTCTCCAATACCTTTTTTACACCAAAATTGGTGCATATACTTGGGTTTTATTTAACACAGAAGTGAATGTTGATTGCATTAATTCCCATTGCAGACAAAAGCCAGATGTTAGGTGGTGTGAGCAGGTTTTGGGCTCAGTAGAAAAGGGGCTTTAGTGTGAAGGAAAAACTACAATGTGGCCTTCAGGTAATGACAGAAAACACATAAGCTCCTCATTAAAGCTAGTGTTTGTCCATTCTGGCATATGTAGGAAAATGGAGGGGCAGCATGGCGGACTCCACTACCATTGAGTTTTTCAGGTGATTATACACTAATGAAAACATAATTATCTATATGTATATGTCATTTCTGATTTTTAGACCCTTTTAAATCCTACACACCGGACCTTTAAATGCATCCTTGAAACTTCTTTAACCCGAGGAGATTGTTGAAGTCATTTCCGTGGACTCATTTCAATTGGGGACAATTATTGATTTGAAGGTGATATTTATTAATTCAAGGGAACAAATTACTAAGTGGTTTTGCATGATTATCAGAACTGTTAACCCCAATTGCTGCGAGGCTGTGTGTCTACATGTGAAACTCTTAAGTGCTGCTAGTCTCTCTGTTGTTGCCCGGAGCACATCACCACAAAATGCAGCGACCATGAATCTTATCATGTGATGTTTCTGTTTTCAGAAAAAAGGAAAAAAAGATCACGTGAAGTTGAATTTATGATTTATGTTTTTATTTTCCTTTTTCATCTGCTGCTTCCTGTGTCTGCTGATTGTTGAAAGTCGCCTGAAACAGCGATGACCTCCCCTGAGGGGGGGGTTCAATAATGACCCATTGATAATTAGAGTGACTATACAGTCGCAAGGAGACAGCAAGAGTCAAGGGTCAAACTCTGACTGGATAGTGTGTGTGCGCATATCGTTAAGTGTGGACACCAGTGCATTACTGGGGGTGGGGCTAATGAATTTAGAGCCATGTGTTCAGCTGACTAGCATGTTAAGCACTGATTGCCTTGTGACAGCGCATATGATTAGTGTATTGACACAGCGTTGTGCAATGAAAGCAGGCGCAGCTCGCAGCAGGGGCTCGGCGCTGTGGCTGACTGCCGCCCTGCAGATCCCTCTACCCATCACTCTGTTCCATTAACACCTGCTGATTGCGATGGTGTGTTTACTGCTCGCTGCTTCTGTGGTGTTTCTCAGACGAGTCGACTGCTCAGCTTGGGGTCTACTCATGCTCACTTCTGTGTTAGACATTTTCCACTGGCCTATTGTTGGTCCCTTGTTTGTGTTTGTTTAGAGGCAGGGGGGCTGCAGTCCATTTTTCACTTTGCAACCTCACACTAATCATACACCAGAGGGGGATGATTTACTCACTCTAAAGATGTGGGCAGGTAATGAAGAGAGTGCTACAAAATACTTTGGCGACTCAACAAGTAAGTGGAAGGATTCTGGGACATTAAAGACTTAAGAGGTGGCACAGGCTGGCGGCCGGGCTGTTTGCAGGGGCAGGGCGGACAGCTGTTTGCTGGAATGCGGCCCTGAAGGAGTTTCAGGAGGAAGTGCTTTTATGGGTCGCTCATCGTCCGCCCCGCAGCTGCTGCCCAGGTGAGTGTTTGCGCAGTAATGACTGTGATTGTGCAGAAGGAATCCTCCCGTAATTGCGGCAGCAGCTACAGGCCCGTTCAGTCGAGACTCTCCGGCCTTTGTGTCAGCAACACTCGCTCTGCCCTTTATCCCCCGGGCTGCGCTGAGTAACCATAGAAACAAGTCATTAGCTTGTGGAAATAAAATGTGACTGATTTTGGAGAGGGAAGCGGGATGTTGAAATAACCCTCTCTCATCCACTGGACTATAATTTAGTCAGAGGGAGGGAAAAGCATCTTTTTAGTGCTGAGTCCAGCGTGTTGCAAAGTGGAAGCGCTGCAGGATCCCAAGCTTGTTCATTCTGAACAACATGTTTACTTTACTGTCTGAAGCCCATTGTTACCTTGGTTTTCACCTCTGTCAGTTGGTTCATATGTTTTTTATGTAAGAAAGATTACACAAAATAAAATCAGAGGATTTCCTCAGTGGAACACGACACATTTCCGGATCAGAGGGAGGATCCAGGATTCTAGATTAAAAAAAAAATAAGAAACTGACATTTTGATGGCTGTGGCTTAGGAGGTAGAGAGGGTCATTCACAAACCAGAGAGTCAGTGGTTCAATCCCCTGCATGGTTCAGTCTGTACTCCAAAGTGTCCTTGGGAAAAATACTCAACCCAAAATTGCCTGTTGACTGTTCTGACAGTGTATGAATAGTAGTGTGTGAATGTATTGTAAAGCACTTTGAGTGGTCAATAAGACTATATGGATTCATACAGTCCATTTACTATTTACCATATGTATGAGTATGTGAAATGTGGTGTAGCCTGATTGAATTTAAGGGGACTGTTGGTGGAGGTATGAGCTCTACTCTGTACCATTCAAGTTAAATCATGTGTCAGAGTAACCTGTTTGATCGTAAAGGAAAACTTGAAACTTCTATGATAGGGGTGGTCTGTGGCCTGAGCCTTGAGGCCGACATATCAGAACAGACCTGCGTTTGGTTGGCTGTGCCGTGATTGACAGGAGGCATCTTTGTCACTGACAAACGGGGCGGGCAGATTATGTGGAGCAGAGTGGTCTCACTGAGCACTCTGGATGTGGCTCACATGGCAGGAGGATAAAGACACAGAACGGGACGGTGGCTAAGTGGGACGAATAATA